GGGGTCCGCAGCTCCCTGGGGGTGCCGCCATCAGGGCGCCCTGGCGGCGCAGGGCCGGCGGCAGCGCTGTGGGACGGGCCCTTCCCGCTGCAGCGCGGCCCCTTCAAGGAACCAAAAGCCATTTGGCACTTGAAACTCGGTGGGCTCCTACCTCCCTGCTTCCTTTGGCCAGCAGCTCATTTTGGGCAGGATTTCCCAAAGGGTTTTCACTCAGCCCTGCGCGTTGAGGAGAATCTCATTTGTATACTGTTGCTGTTTGAAATGTCCGGTTTGCATCAGTGTCTTGTCTTTCTAATACAAGTGTTTCAGACAGCACAGTTGTTATTTTGACAAGAGAGGTGTGACCTGTGCTAGTCTCCTTGTGGCCCCTGGTAGGCCAACCCTGTCAACAGGGAGCAGTTTGTGAAGGCCTAGTGAACACCACAAAAATCAGAGACCTCACAGGACAGGATGGTTTGAAAAAGAAGGGGAGTAAAGTGGGTGTATGGTCCCGCTGAATTTGTTCGGTTTTAATGGAATAACCTATACATAGTTTTATGTTGGTGAACACCTATGTTTTAACAGAGCTCATTCTCAACATAGACAAATAAAGTGACCTTAATAAGGCGGATCCTAATGCTGAATAGTGAGACTGGGCAAATGGCTACTGATGCAACAAGTTGAACAGTTGAGAGCCTGCCTGAATTTCTACAGGTATAGAAGATAAAAAATGCAGATGCATCTGTGTCCAAAGAGAAGTCACAGGAGGGTCATCTTTCCTGTAGAGCCACATCTATCAGTTGAGCGTTATAAACAGAAGTATATGAGGAGTTTTTCCATGCATGCAGCACCTGAGAGAAAGGATGAAGGGAGGAGTGAAAGGAAAAGAGAAATCCCCAAAGGAATGAGTTTGCAGTAGAAGTAAGGAGAGACAGGCAAGAGAATGAAGGAGGAAAAAACTGGGACAGATGGAAAAGACAAATTAGTAATATTTGAAAAGGGCAATCACCAACATCAAATCCTGATTTTCAATACTGGTTACAGTGACTTAGAATTCCTCCTGTGCTCCGCTGAACCACACTTTTCAACCATGAGAAGTCTCAAAATTACTATAACAATTGCAGGACTCAGAGTTGGAAAGAGAAAAGTGATTTGCCAGAATTCCACTAACAGAGAGATGGGCTGTTCCTTTACTTAACAAAGGCAGAGGAACTTCATGCTGCAAAAGGTAAGTTTAAATGGTTTTTGATGGTTTGGGGTTTGTTTTTTGGTTTTTTGGTTTGGTTTTTTTTTGTATGTCCAGGTCTATGACTTTGTGAATAACAGGTATTTATTCATAAAACTTGGTAACTTTAATATTCTGTAACTGCACTGGACAGCATGGTTAGATGATTATTTTCTGATGATAAGCGCTTCAGATAGCTTTTATGATAGCTGGTTTTGGTGTACACTTCAAATATACCTTCAGTGAATGTTGTGTATTCTGAAGTATTTCATGGCTGATAGACTTTAACTGTTGAGACCTATTTTTTTCTTACCACTTTCTGAAATTCCTTCTGTTCTCATTATCCCTTTTTCCCCTGGATATTTCCAATATCTTGTTCAAAATGTTCCAGATGGAGTCATTCTTGTCCTTTGTACAATGGCATAATAACAAGATAAATTAATTGATGACGTGAATTTAAGGTCATTTCAGTATTTACAGGGTTATTATTTTATATGGTCTTTGGCTTTAAGCTATTTCCATCTTACTAGATGTGCATGGTTAGTTGAAGAACCTGTTGAATCTCTTTAGAGGTGCACGTTTGTAATGAGCTTTCATGCTTTTTTGGTATTTGCGTATTTGCTTTTGGCATTTTTCCACTGCATAATTACAGTTTATGTGAGGGTTACTTATTTTGGGGAAAATATAGGCCAAAATCTCTTTGTGTTGTGTGAGTGTTAACTTTGTTTTATGCTCATATAACTTATAGAAGGGTTTGTATCATATGTTTTGTCACATAAATAAAATACATTTTTCTTGATTCAAGCAAAAGTCTCCAAGATACTTAAAATCTCAAGTCTAACAATACTAAATAAAATGTAAATAGCACAAGACGTGTGTGTTAGTACCAAAGGTGAATAAATATTGTTAAAAATGTCCTGTCAGAAAACTAGCTTACTTGGTTTGTAGAAACCTTGTCTTATATATTGTGAAATTCACTGGAAGACTTAAAAACAGTTTATAGGAGCACCTAAATAAGGCTCTGAAATGATCAAATTTTGTGTATGTGTTCAGCCTTCTGTGCGATGACTGGTAATCTGACTTTAGTAGGTTTCCTCAGGATATAAGATAATGAATCAAAGAAAATTCATTCTGATCTTTGCAGATGATCATTTTATGCTTAGCATCTTAGATGCACGTTAATTGTTTTTTTGGTCACTGTAGCTTTCACATGCTAACACCAATCCAAATTATCTAACCTTGGCACAGTACCTCACACGATGATGGTGTCAACAGCAGAAAATTCCAAAAGTTTGGTCTATACTTCTGTAAAGTATACTTCATTTCAATGTCTCTAAATTAGCTTTCCTTAGGTTGCCTCTAATTTTAATATTGATAGAATAAAGACTGCATAATTCCAGTTACAGAATGTGTTACTGCTTTCTGTGGAGCTGAAACAATGCCTAGTACATAATTTATAAGGACTTGGGTCTGATCTCATTTAGATAGGCAAGCATTGCTGTGTTTCTTGTAAAATTCGTCTAGTAGCTGATTTTATATGATTCAGTACACAGCAATAGGTGCTGGGATATCTTGGGTCAAAATCAGGTCAAGGTACTTGATCAGATACAGTTCATTTCAAAAGTGGATAAAGATACGGTGCAGTATGTTCCAGGATATTGGAGGTCAAAACTGAAATTTCAGCTGTTAATAACCCGTGAAATACAATACAATGCAATTATTTGTATTAAGTGGTCACTATTTAATAGTCAGCATTCGGGAGAAGCTGGGATATGTTGACATATGAACATCCACTGTGTTTTCCTGCATTGTAGAACATCAACCAATGTGAAGGGTGATGCTGTGAGTCTGTATCCCCTTGACAACAATTCCATCTTAAGGACTTCTACCAGCCTTCCACAGTTTGCCCCTTTTCCCTTAATTGTAGTCTGTCTCGTTCTAGTATTGTAGTTTATGAAGCCTTGGTGCATGCTGGAAAAACAGCTTCATATTATTTTTAGACCCAAATAAAGAACTTATAAGTTTTGGATAAACTGAAATACTTACATTTTACCATGCTGTTCTATATTTCTTTGTATATATTGTGAGGAACGATGACTGTCTTGAGTGCTATAGTAAATATATCTCCAGTTTCTTTAGATAATTCTCTTATTTTCTGAACACAGTCTCTTTTTTTACACACACTGCACACATACCCTGGGAGTAGAGAACATTTCTAGTTTGTAACACATCAGTGACATTACTATCCTTGTCAAAAGTTTTGGTATTATAATAATGAGTAGTCATAGTTCATTGGTTACTTGTAGCAGAGTTTTTCTGTGCCTGAGAAATATTGTAATGAGGTTTCTCATTGTGGATAGCTTGATGGTAAAAATGCAGTTGTGTTTCAGAGTGCTGTTCAAGAATAAAATGCATGCATACCAGATTTTCTCTCACGCAGGTTTCAGTATGTTTTCATAACGGATCGTGTGTATGTGACAGATCTTATATAAGAACATATGCACTGTTCTTTTTTAAAATAACCAACATGAAAGCATAAGGTGGAGTGTGAGCATTAGCCTCCAGTATTTCTCTGCAGTCAAACGTACTGCCTTTCGTAACGATATGTCATAGTAGCTGTATAGTGGTATGTAGTAGCTAATATACTGGAAATTTTTTCTGATGTAGTGATTGTAACTTATCGTCCATATCACAGTTTCTGTACAGAAGAAAATTCACTGGAAAACTTTCTCCTTAGTTTATCAGTACTAATGAAGGTGGTATCATCTGAAAATCAAGTGTATTGCTGTGATGAGAAAGTCTTGCTTTCTTGATTTAGAATTAGCTCCATAAATCAAATTTAAAAGCATTATTTCTTTTGTACAGAACAAATACACTGACTGGACAAAGAGTGCAAGGAACCTTTCTGGCACGTTGCCAGAAATGAAAGATAAATCTAGTGTGCTTTGACTGTGCTAGCTATTCTTTTCTGTTTGCTTTCTTCTGTTCAAGCAGTCGAGTGCCTTCTAACTTCAAACACTTGAATACGGACAGAGTAAGTGGCTTCAGAAAATACCTGCATGCACATCTTTTTGGAAAGTGCTTTGGGTGATATGGAAACATGTAAGCCAGACAAAGATGAATTGTGAGAGAGAGATTTAAGAAGGATCCATTTTCCAGGGTCAGACAAATTAACATTTAAAACAGCTTCTAGTCGCAGAGTTGCAGCCTAGATGGAAACTTCAAAAATTCTTTTCAGATCTCCCTTTGGCTATGGGAGACATTAACTTTTTCTGGAGTACACACATAGGAATTTTTGGCAAGGGAACACGCATTTAGTCATATTCCTACTGAGGATGCACCTGAAGCTGCCCACATTGCTTATGTAGTTTTGCAGTGGAAGAAAGAGCCAGCAGTTCACATGTACTGAGACAGACTAGATGTGATGCAAAGTAGCAATAGGGATCTTCTTAATATGGGAGTTGAACTCCTAAGCATCCATCATAAATTATTTTTTTCAGCCATTTCATTCGAAATTACTGGGCTTTTTTTGACTGGGTGATAATTTATCTTAGAAAAAAATAGGATATACATAGGTGAGTCTCTATGTACTTAGAATATTATTTTGGTGATATTCATGGTTCATTCCAGTCCCTGACTTTATGGCACCCTTAGTCCTCAAAAGTTGCCACAAGTGCCTGATTTTCTTACTTGTCTGGAACAAGGAGGGAAACAATTGTTATTCTCTCCAAAATATTACA